TTGGCTGAAAACCAGTGAGTTTCCATGGGGGGGGGGGTCTGCAGCCACCTGGTGGTCAAGGTCAAGGGGATCCTGTTCCAACGAACAACTCACTTTAATTGTGTGAAGAGATTAATTCAAGCTCTGTCTCTCTGTGTCCATCAATCCCAGGACTTGACCCACTGTGAGCACTGTGACGTGGAATGGATCAAGAAAGCGGGTGACGAACAGTGAGTCCTTTTTTTTTTAAAGTAGTCCTACTGTACCTACTGTGTAGTCGTATTTGAACATTACACTGAGTTGCCTTCTGGTGGCGCTGCAGGGTGAACCTGGCGTTAGCCTACACTGAGCTGATAGAGGAGCTGGGTCGGGTCCGAAGTCTGACCACGAAACAGAACGACCTCCTACGACAGAGCCAGCAGGAGCCTGGTAGGTCTGGGCTCAAAAATATATTTTTTTAATCGTAAAAGAACGGAGACGACGACTTTTTTTTTTCTCTCTTTTTCCGCCTGCAGTCTCTCGTTTCTCTCTCTTTTTCCGCCTGCAGTCTCTCGACCTCCTCCCACGCCCAAGCGTCTCTCACCCACGTCCCCCCAGCGCTCCTCCCTCTCCCCTGACAGGCTGATGCCCACCCCCTCCCCTCCTCTGTCGTTGTGCGATGGCCCCGCCTCCTACTCTCAGCAGCCAACCAGCAGCCGTCTTCGAGCAAAGTTCCAGGGTCGGCGCAGCTACTCTGAGGTTTCTGACCCATCAGCAGTCCACAGACCCGCAGCACGTCTGATGAGGGACCCGGTCTCCACCCTCCCCAAACCCAGGCCCCTCCTGGGGGAGTCAGCGGGGTACGGCCAAAGCAAACCTCAGCTTCGGACCTCCTTGGTGGGCCTGGTCAGACCAGCGTCGGCTCACGGAGGTGGAGGTGACAGAGGAGGAGGTGGAGTTCTTTATATTAGGGGCGGAGAGAGGGGGGGAGGCAGCAGTCTGAGCAGCAGCCCTCATCACTGTGCTCTGGACCGGGGGTTCCCATTGGCTGCTGAGGTGAGACTGAGGTTTTATGTCTTTGGACAAAGTCTGGTCACGTGACCCCCACCTGTGGTCACTGCTCTCTCCCCTGTCTTCCAGGTTCATCACTTCTGTCGCATCGCCGACCCACTGGAGCCCACCCCACTGGTGACGCCCCCCCAGTCCTCTGATGATGAAGAGGTGACTCCTCCTCCTCCTCTTCTTTATATTATATTTATATTGACTACGTTCTTAATGTTTGACTGTGTGTGACGTTCGTCGCTGCAGGACGTGTGCGCCTACCTTTCGCCGGCCGCGAGTCCGCCCCGGACGCTGGGGGCCATCGGGATCGTCTCGTCCTCACCTCGAGAGCAGCCCCTCCGTCCCCCGTTCCCGTCACCTAGGAAACAGCCCCACCACCCCTCCTTCTCGGCCCCCGAGGGTCCTGCCACTCTCTCCTGCCATCTGCCACCTTACATGAACACTGAGCACGCTCAGTCGTGGCCTTCCATCAATGTGAGTGGAACCAGTTAGAAAATGAATTGACAAGGAGTCGTATTTCTTTGTTAATGAGTTTTTAAATATTTTCAAAGTGAATCACAGTTCAGAAAATGCTAGAAATTATAGTATGGATAATATTAACAGTCAGACCACAATAACATTAAATTGGGTGAAGCCAGAAACAAATAGCAGTTATAGCTATATGTTAGCCAATTTAATAATTTAACGATTACATTTTTTAATTTAATCTTTTTTTTCTCTCTGCAGTTATGGATGGAGTCAGAGGAGAGCGCTGTCCGTAGCTGCCCCCTGTGTCAGCTGACCTTCCCCACTGGATACCCCGACGACGCCCTCATCAAACACATCGACTCTCACTTGGAAAACAGCAAGATCTGAACCTTATCGGTATCGTTGAGACGTTCTACACCTGGAGACGAGGCTCAGATCCCGGGTGTCGAGAGCGTTCAGTCAGCCTGCATGCTTGGGTCGGTAGGACTTTTCCAGAACTTTCCACTGAGGCGCGCTGTGACTTTGGCAGCTCCAGACTTGAGCCTTTTATCATTTCATCTCTGAGATGTCTTTTTTTTTTAAGTCTTGTTGTTGAAGGACATGTCTCCCACACAGACTGCTCTGTGTTGAATGGGAAAAGAGATGAAAAGCAGCGTTTGTACATAAAAGACAGAGCTGTTTGGAACGGAATGTTAAATGAAAACAAAAATATAGATATATATATATATATTAATCATATTATTATCATTTCCTTTCATAAAAATTTTAAAAAATGAAAATATAGAGTGAAGCAAAACCAGAGTTGGGATCTACTGACTGCTGGAGTTGTACAAAGTAAATGTGAGTAAAGTCTAATGTGTGTGAAACATTTCGTGGATAAAATGTGATATAATTGACAGCAGAAGGCGTCTGCTGCCATCGTCTGGTGTGGCCATGAAAGTGCCTTGTCGTGTCCCACTAATGGTTTTATTTTGAAAGAGCAGAATAGGGAAGAACAATGTATACATATATGTACGCATATATATTGATATGTGTATATATTCAAATATATATACTGTATATGTGCTAAAGTATATACAGTAGTAGGAAAATAAAGATAAAATCGATAGATTGTAAGATTAAAATTAGATAGCAACGATAATAATCATAATACTTTATATTATTATTTATGTTCTGTTTCAGAGAGACGATACTACTACTAAGGGCTACTTTTAAAATCGTGACTCGTCGTTTGATACTAGAGTCTCTATGTTTTCGACAGTCCGTCTCCGATTCCCTTCTAGAATCACTACGATTCGATACAGCCCAGAGCGTGTTGACGTGGTCTCACAGTCGCAACAAATGCATGTGACCTTATTTTGAAAATCAAGAGGAAACAAAACAAGTGTAAGAACCCTAGTCCTCAACTTAACAGACGACGAGATCGAACGGTGAGACACGGATAAATCCGGTTGATTTCACATTTTGTACTTTGAAGACATTTCACACTCGAGACCTTTACGTGTGTATTTCTCATGAACTGAAAAAAACAAACAAACTGCAGTGCAAAAATGTTCTGACAAAATCGTTTGAAAATTCTGAGGAAGTAAAAGCCAAACGTTCAACAAAACACCGCGTGTTGCCATGTGTTTGTTTTCGGTCCCTGCAAGTTACAGAGGAGTGGCGTGTCGGAGTAGAAAAAGAGGAGGAGGCGCCACCCCCGCCACCCCCCCCGCCTACAGCCCCCTCCAAACGAGAGCATCACATCAGCCATGTGGGATTTTTCATGGATACAGGAAGGACCAACTGTTGTGGAAGGAGGAAATAATTCCAATGTTTTACCACCTGCGAGACAACCAGCCGACTTTGTTCACCAAAGTTAAGGTAAAACAAAATCCAGTTTTTGCAGTCTTTAATCACAAAATATTCACCTGGCAG